CCCTGTAAGCGCAGCCTCTCAACACACGCGCGACTCATGAAATTTTGTGTCGAGCAAGTGTCATAATAGGCCCCGGCCTTGTGGCCGCCAATGACTACCTCGCTGAAGAACATCTCACCCTTAGGGGCTTCGACCAATGTTGTCCAAGAAGCTAGTGGGTCTGATCTAGACCACTCCTCCTCTAGCTCCTCTAAGGACTCGAACACATTCATCGAACAGGGGTCGATGGGTTTGAACGTGTTTGCGGGACGACGATGGAGTCCGTAGCTTGGGCCATCTCTCGAGATGATGAGGGTGTGTACACCACCTCGACCCTAGCAGGAACAACTACTATTCCTACTGGCCCGACGTGTTTCCCGGAACAGTGCCAGAAGTGCTCGCCACATTGCTACCAACGAGAGAGGAGAAACCCAACGCCTGCCCCATCGTAGGGGGGATCTTTTCGGTTACCTTCTTATTTCGGCACTTGAATTGGTTATGGCCATATTGGCCACAACAGATACAAGCCTGCCTTGTATACCGATCTCTCCACACGTCCTCAGTGAGACCCGCTTTCTCCCATGGAGGAGCATTAGGGTCAACTTGACTCCTTGATCGGGAACCTCCATGACGTCTACCGGTCGCCTAACCTTTTTGTACTACGGCAGCGACTACTCCACCCCCTGAAGCTTCTACGCTGCCAGCCTCTGAACCTACTCCCTCCTGGAAGTTGTCATCTAACTCGATGGTTGAACCATTGTTATCGACAAACATAATGCGACCCTTCGCCTTCCAGTTGGGAGGCAGTGTCTTCTTCCTACCATCTGTCGTGGGGTTGTCCATGCCCTATCTTTGCCTCAAGGTCTAGGGCCTTCTTGCTGAACGAGGGAAAGTTGTGCATATTGATGTTGGCCTCACCTGCCAGCTGATTCCTGAGAGGCATGGGAAAGCATCTCATGTAGGAGGTGAGTAAGACCTGGGGGTCATAGCGCACCCGAGGGACACAGATCAGACGCTCAACAGCGTCAGTGGCCTCCCTTACTGACTTGAACTGCCTCGTGTGCAGTGTCAGGATTGCATCAGTGACCTTTTGAGCCTCTTGAGGATCATACCACTTGTCTTCCACCATCTTGAGAAAGTCCTCCAGTTTTTGGTGGGCTGCCCAAGCGCGAAAGTCATGATCGTACCCCTGTAACTGCAGTAAGCCACTCAACCATCTTGCTGCACTACCCTTTAGATAGGATGCAACCACAAGCACTTCCTTGTGCGGCAAGGTTAGTTTACACTTGACATAGACCGGCACTGCCCTCAACCAAGTGTCGAGGTCTTCGCCCCTCTTATCCCTGTAAAGGGTTTCGGAGCGGCGATGGCCGTCTTCGGTACGCACTGAGTTTGTCCCGGTCCCTGCATCACTCCGGGTTGTGGACCTTGTGGTACAGGCTGCTGCACTGACTGCAGGGGTTGTGTACCCTGTGGCTGTACAGACTGTGAGACAGCAGGCTGCACACTTACTGCAACCTGCGATGGAGGTTGGGTAAACACTGTCTGTACAGGAACCTGTAAACTAGGACCTGCTTAGTGCCCTCCTGCTAATGGCATACCCAGGGAACGGTCTGGACCGATGCTGGAGCTGTATATGGGGATACCCCTGTCACCGGTGGGACAAAAGGAGGAGGATGTACAACGGGCTAGGCACCGGGCCCGGACGGTGATGGTGACGCCTACATTCGCCCGACTAACACAGCCAGACTCTGTTGGATGTCCTGTAAGATCTCCATTCGGTGATCTTGCATTTCTACTACGCTCAACAAGACCGACCGTATGGTCCTCACGTCATCCTCCATCTCTGTAGTGTCCATCTCCTCTAACTCACTAACGTCCGCTTGCCTCCGCTGCATCTTGGCTCTTCTCCTAATCATTCTCTCTTTCTCAACCTTAATCTCTCCCAACGCCTGCTGTCGCTGTGCCTCGCGATCAGCAGCTCGCTGTATGGCGACCTCCTCGGGAGTCGACACTAATGGCTGGCTTGCCATAATGCCAGTGGACTGACTTTGGGTCTGCGCGACTGTTGACCCTATAGATCCTGAACTACCAGCCTGAGAAGTCTGCTTTGCAGAAGTGGCCATTGCTTCCGAAGCTGCGGCTTCGCTTACAAGCTCCCTGCTAGCCTCTGCTGCTCTAGCTCTCCTCTGCTGCTGCTGCTTCTCTCTCAGCTGGCGGAACAAGTATCTGTCACCCTCTGGTCCTAATGCCAAATGGGCAATCGGGCGTCTAGCCGATCGCAAGATCCGGTCGTCCTCCCTAGTGTCCTCCCTGTCGCTCATAAGCTACAGCAATGTACACAATCTGCACTAGTGCATTCTAGATGCCTAGCGCAGTGTAATGCACAAACCAACTAAATAATTACTTGGTGGCTATGTCAGAGACTAAACATTCGAGTCCATCAGGTAAGTCCAGATTCCTACAAATGATACCATTCTACTTTGACTAGCTCGCAAATAGAAAGCACAATGAACAGAATCAGTTCTAAACTATGTTGTCTGTCAGATGTCAATGGCAGTACATCTAACTAATCAAAATAAAATAACATCACTTGGTGGGTCTTTTCACAGTGTGGGATCTTACTCAAACTTATCACCTGGAATCTACCCCTTCCCCAATTGCCCTTGATTGTCACTTGACGTCAGCGTCCCTGAGCAATCCGGTTTGGCGTGCGTGACTAAAGGTGTGCACACGGCCCACCCCTGTGCCCGGCACTGTTTTTATCCTTGCGTGCAGCGAGCCTTACACCCATTGGCTGATCCAAAGGCAATTTAACGACCGCCCCCAAGTGTCATCAGGAATTATTTTACATCGCAGCAGGACGACGATCACAGCCAATGGTTTCCCCTGCCGGTGTTTGATTATAGACGCCCGGTTCTCGTCTCCCACATAGGGCTGGCCTGCCCCTCAGAACCCATCTAACAGCGCAGCGAGCCGAACAAAGGACAAGCAGCAAAGCATGCGTGCTCTACTCCCGGTGGGTTGGCATGGTGACCGTGACCCAGTGCTTCGTCCAGGGCCCTTTAGAAAGCACCGCCCTCTCCTTCCAGATGCTCCACAAGAACAGTGCCGACTCTCAAGGTTGAGCGCACACGACACCTCACATGAGAGGACTCTCAAGAAGGAACTCACAACCTCAAGGTAAGAAATGATGAAGAGGGTAGATAAGGTTAAGAGCAACGTACCTCAATATAGCTGCCCCCAACCACAGATATTCTCACCAGATGACCTGATGGCGATTGCGATGACCAGTCACTGCATCGGCACAACCAGCATTATCTCGCCGTTCCACCTCAGCATCAATCAACCACCAGATAGTTCTCCTCACTGCAAACACCCAATATACACACCGTAGCCTTCCTGGCGATTCCCCTCTACTCCTGGGTCGCCACACCTTGTCTCCGCCCTCCTCACTACACACCACCTACGGCCTCACTCACCAAGCAGACCGCATGTATGTACTGCATAGGCAGAAGACAAGCGCCAGAAGAGCGCAACGTACCACAGCTCCGATACCAAATTGCAAGGAAGATGAGCGATAGCGAACTTCAGAAATCAAACAGCATCATACACACAAGACCAGATAGTTGTGACCTCGAACCAACAGCAGAATTGCATCACGAGTTTCACCAAATAAGAACACACCAAGAACTCATAATTGACAATACTGGTAAAGTCTCATCATCATCATCAATGAAGAACCAATGTTGATATCCTATCTGGCGCTCGGCGCCCAGACTACAGATGGCAGATCCTATCTAGCCTAACCTACAATGCCGCCGGATGACGTCAACAGCTTCACCAAAGTACGAGCAGATCTCGGACAATGCCGTCGCTTCTAGCACCAGGTATGTCTCTCGTATCACTCACAACCTCGTTCGCCAACACACAGATGCCACGTGCACCCAAGGACCACCCTGTGCGACACCCAGGTCACAGCAGCGCAGCTCGGCTATGGCTGCCTGCTCCTTCCAGCTCGCCCATGAGTGCGTGAGCGCTAGCCAGCTTCAGTGCAGCAGCGCTTGCGCAGCATGCAGCCAGCACCCGAATCCCCAATACGGAGGCAGGCCCGTTGCTATGTGGAAGTGGCCTTCCTGCTGCTGCGCTGGGCCTGTCCCAAGAAGCTTCCGGTAGGCCCCGGTAGGCTGAGGCCCAGTCCAAACGAATCAGGCCCAGGGCCTGTGGTGGTTACTTGTGCCCAACTGTCCTCAGCCTGTGTTTGGCCCATATCCCGTATCCAGCCCAGGGCCTGCCTTCCATACATGCAAACAGGCAGCCTGGGCCTGGGTGCTCTTCACCAACTGGCGCTGCGCAACTGCCTGAATTTTCCTCAGTTGCGCGGTGGCCGAAATAGGGGCCCTCAGGCCCTCGTCGAGCCTGCCTTCACTTAGGGCGGCCGACGTGCTGCATATCAGAGCCAAAAAGGGGCTCATCGGGGCCTTGGCCTCGCACGACAGAAATTGATTTAATATCGTTGTGGCCGGATGGGCCACAGATCAGATATTATACTGATCAGAACAGACACTACACTTCATCTTAGCCAAAAGGCCGAGAAAGGTATTCCCCTCCGAGTTTTGCTTGTGGCAACAATTTTTTTTTTGCAAGACTGGGGCCGTGTACTTGCGGTTTAAACCACCAGTACACCCGGGCCTGGAGGCGCCTTACTGCAAGCCAAGCTTTTTCGAACCGCCAGCGGCACACTTTTTCTTTTTCGTGGCTGGTGACACCAGCGATTGTCGTCCGGCAGGCCAGGCGTCTGAATTTTGTAGGTGACGAGTTGTGCATATCGTGGTCTGGTAAAAAAAATAAAAAATAAAAATTGTAGGCGACGAGTTGCATTTTCAGCAAGGCTGGGGCCATGTACTGGCAGTTCAATATGTGATTGCTTCTCCCATCACGGCTAAGTACTGACTCTCTCGTCGAGGGCAAAACAAATGTGGTGCTGTTTGTCTGTGTGTGCATGTGTTTTCCTCTCACAGGTACTTTGTCGTCGCACATGTCTTTGCACTTCAATCTGCAGTGTTTGTGCTGGAAATCGAAGGAGAAAGGGTCTGTGTGTGTGGGGGGGGCGGGGGGGGTGGCGTTGATGCATCCATAAACTGTCGCCTAAAGGTGGCTGAGCTTGCTAGGCTAGCTGACTAGTGGGCTAGCTACTGAGCTGGCTCGCTGGTGAGCTTGCTAGCTGGCTCGCTGGTGAGCTGGCTGGCTGGCAGCGCAAATGTATCGCATCGGTGGCCTGATGCGATGCATGCGCACACGTGGACACGTAACATGTGGATGTGTCCTGCCGGTGGTCGCAACTCAAAGGGCGCTTCCATATGGCGCCGCTGCTTCCAGAAAGTCGACAACTCCGCGGCATCTGCTTTTGGGCAAACGTAATTTCAGCAGCGAAGGCTCCAAGTCTGCGAATAACTCGAGTGCCAATGAAGTGCCGGGTCACAATCGATGGCTAAGCACGCCACGTGTGGCCCTTGCTTCTGCAGTGCTTGGTGCAGCAGGGGTGGCATGGATTTCAGGTGAATCAACACTTATGTTCCCGATATGTTTTGTTTCCTTCCGCGCTCTGCTGTTCTCCTTGCATGTGCTTGTTCGTGTGTGCTTGTGTGTGTGTGTGTGTGTGTGTGTGTGTGTGTGTGTGTTGTATTGAGTAGTGGCCAAATACAGCTCCACAAAAGAAAGGGTGACCACGACAGAACGTTTTGTCTGACTCATCAGGAGGTCGAACCGCAACAATCTTCCCAGGATGCATTTGACTCTGAGGGATAAGGACTTAACAGTTTGCCCAAAGTTACCGATACTCTTCTTTGTGTGTGTGTGTGTGTGTGTGTGTGTGTGTGTGTG